TGTAAATGGAGCTCATTTTGATTATTGTTTTTTTGTTATTCGAAAGTGACGTTTTGCACCGTTATATAGCACTTTTTATCGCTCTGTTTTATGCCAGGCAATTATTTTCTACTGGTTGTTTATGTCATATGCAATAACAGCAGTAGCAAAACACCTTCCGAGTTCTTTTATGCAAATTTTATATTCAATTTCGGTTCGGTATGAATTTTTGCCGGTGGCATATTTGATTATGGCACTTGGCAACGTTGTTTTATGTTTTGTGTTCTTGTCGAGGGCAATCTGATTATACCAATATAATACTACGAGTGTTGCTGAAGTATGGCAAGTGTTGTAAAAAAACATTTTTAGGATTGGAGGGCGGAAATGTTGTGCGAAAAGAAGAGACAATTGGACTTAATGTAGTGACGTCAACTTCCCTCGCCGAAAAGAATCGATAATTTTATTTTCATACCAATGAAAAAGTTCGCATACTTCTTTACATACTTATACCTATAACATTTATATTCATAAAAACTTAGAAATATGTGTGTGTATGTATAACTGCTAACATAGAGTTGTGGTCAATAGCATAAAACAACATAATAATGAGTTGGTCACAAGAAGCCGTAATTTCGCATGAACATATGTACGTATACATACATATACTTGTACATTTATTTATATATAGATATGTACGTGCCAAGATGTGTATACTAATATATTCAAATACTTACTGTATTGATTGTAGAGTGTAGTAATTTGAGCAAACTTTGTGAGTAGTCTATGTTGAGATTGTGTATACAAATTTATGGAACCTTAACATATTTAAGCCGTAAAAGCTTGTGTCATGGCACTCGTTTGTATGTATGTCCATACATATGAATACATGAAATGCTGGTAGGTAGAGAAACTTGCTGCCTACAAATTACATAGATAAATTGATTACATGAAGATAATAAATAAAAGCATGTCGCTAATAAAAGCAACAGGATAATTATTAAGGAAAGTAAGGTGTGAATTTCTGCAGCTGTATGATATGAGATTTAATAATTTCGATTAGTATAAATAATTAAGTATAAGCTCCTGAAAAGTCAGGAATAAATTTATATATCCATATAAACATTATACTTATATAACAGGTAGAAAAACTTTTTTCAATAGCCTCTTTTAGATAAGGTCACACGTGAGTCGTGTCAAGCTGTCATGTTATTTTCAGTGTTGTTTGGCATTTCATCATGGAAAAACTTACGCCTGAACAACGTTTACAAATCGTTCAACTTTATAACGAAAATTCACGTTCTGTAAAAAATGTGTTTCGCGCGCTTCGTTCAAGTGATGGGGGTATTCTAATGTAGAATTTCAAAAATATCGATTTTTTTCATACTTTTAAAGTTTACCTACTTAAGAATATGTCTACGAGAGAATTTACATTATTTTCGGAGATATAGATAGACATTTTACTCTCAAACTGGTTCGACTGAATCTTCCTTATAGACCTCTCTTGAGTATGAACTAGTCCTAATATCCCCAAATTTAAATTTTTGCTATTTTTAAAAAATACGAGAAAATACCAAAAAAATGGTAAAAAAAAATCGTTTTTGTTTTCAAACAGTCGCCAATTTGGTTTTTTTTTTCTTATCGCCAATTCATACAATCATCATTGCAGATTGATAATCTTTTTTGTTAATTTCAGTTATCTGAAGGAGGGTTGAAATTATGCGCGACTGTTAACGCGCCATGATAACCGACTATTTGATGTCTGAAATTGAAGCTCGTGATCTCGGCGACATTTGGTTTCAACAAGGCGCGACTTCCCACACATCGCATCAATCAATGGATTTATTGAGAGAACGCTTCGGTGAGCAGATAATTTCACGTTTTGGGCCGGTCGATCGGCTACCAAGATCGTGTGATATCACACCGTTAGACTTTTTGTTCTGGGGATGTGTAAAGTCTAAAGTCTATGCGGACAATCCCGCTTTGATTCAGGCCTTGGAGCAAAACATCACGCGTGTCATTCACCAGTTACCAGGCGAAATGCTCGAACGAGCCATCGAAAATTGGACTCAACGGATGGACCATCTGAGACGTAGCCGCTGCCAACTTTTGAAAGAGATAATCTTCAAAAAATAAATGCCAAAGAATGTTCTTTCGAATGATAATAAACATTTCTCATTAAATTTGAATTTTCTGTGTTTTTTCTTTAAAAAAGTAGGGAACCTCGAAATTGATCACCTTTACAAATATATGGTATATACATATCCATATACCGTTTTATGCATGAAACTAATCATGTTATTCTTAGCTTTAGTTCCTTTCACAACAAACTTTCAATTCTAATGCGCTTTATTGTATTTATAACACTTTTAGGGTTTCCCTACATCACATATCTTACACATCCGCTTTGGCTCAAGCCTACACTACACCCCCGTCAAACTGTTAATCCCCTCGACACATCGAATTACTACTACTCACTTTCGTTGAAAGACAAAGGAGAAACAAATGGAAATAATAGCTATAACAATAACTTCAAAATGTTTATGTTTGTTTTTGTTATTGCTTTGTCGCACACTAATGACTACAGATTTTCTCAACAGCGCAAATTGAATTGGTTCTTAGTGATTATATCCTGTGGCGCAAGTATTTATTCTTATATGCCACAACACTTAGTTTATATAATATGTATGTATATACTTGTACAACGCTCTTGCCACGCTCTTTCCGGCTCCGGCTCCGATGACCAACGAGCAGCTTGTCATAAAAGGTAAACTTGCTACTACTTGATCAATGCCAACAACGTACATGGTGTCAATGCCAGTGTTAGGTGTTGTGCATGGATGTTGGTGCTGGTGTTGTGAAGCATTCAACTTAACTAATCATTTTATGGCTCAACTCGGAGTGTTGTAGGCAGTAGGTGCAGAGCCCACAAAGGGATGATCATGGTGGCTTTTTGGTTAGTGGGTGTATTTGTGTAGCACATAATTAGCGCCGGAAGACTGCCTAGGTGAACATGCAGGTTGATATTAATGGTGTAGGATATTAGAATTATGATAGAATTTTTATATATTTATATTGCCACGAAGTTTGTAACAACCAGAAGGAAACGTTGGGGACTTTGTAAAATATAGATGTACAGTTACTGACATTAAAATATAATCAAAATTTATTTACAACTATTTGCAAAAAAGGCTGTTACTGTCAGGAATTTCAATTGGCAATAAAATATAATAGAGACTATTATCATTAAAAAATTCATATACATAAATTAGAATGTTGTTGCAAAACCTTTATTTGTGAGTACAGCAGCGCACCTTTTCGGCATAGATTCTACTTGAGCTTTACAAACTGAATTCGGTATTGAGTACCACGCCCCTTGGCTTTTTTCCTAGTTCCACCTCATTTCATGGTTTAATGGGTCCAAACTTCTCCTTTACAATCTTCCACAGGCTTTCTATAGAATTCGAATCCGCTAGCCAAGTCTTAACATCGCTTACTTGATACTGTAGCCAAGTCTTGACCACATTTGAGGTATGCTGCGGGTCATTGTCATGCTGGAACTATCAAATTAAAGGCATGTTTCTTTCAGCGTAAGAAGGCATTACACTTCTACAACTCTAAGCTAGTGGTAACAATCCATGATTTCTCGTATTCAAAACAGCTGTTCAACTTCATACCACGAAAAATTTCCCCATATTATGATATTACCATCTCGTGTTTGTATTTGAAAGTTTTTGTCGTGTATCGGGGATTCATTTCAGCAATGAACATGAACATCGAACCCAAACTTTTCCATCGCAACTACCATATTTCTTTAAGATTCATCGCATCAAGGGATTTTACGCCACTTTTTTTATTTTCTTCACCGGTTCCATTAATATGCGCTGAAGCAAAAGCAATCCGATTGCTCCGCTGCCTTTTTTGTACACTTTGGAACTTTCTGGAACAACCATCTGAAGAGGTTCTCTTCTACAAGGCGACGCGCAACAGTTCTCCAAGAAATTTCTACACGCTATTCTCTTTGCTACAAAGGTCTTCAAAAGGTCTACAAAGGTCTTCAAAAGATCAGGTTTTGATAAAATCTTTATGTCATTGTCATACTGAGACGTGGTTTTTCGTAGGTTATTGTCCAAAGTAACGGTACAATGTTCTAAAAAAATTGTTTACATAGGATTACTTTAGCATATAGCTGCCATACAAACTGATCGATCAAAATCAAAATAAAGATCTTGTTATACTCTTTCATGCTATAGGAATTGCACTTGTGAAGGATATTATAGCTATGGGCGTAGCCGAAGTTAACGTTTTATTTTTTTGTTTTATCATAACCTCTAATTTGTTAAATTATAGTATTAAATGTAAAATATTGCTATGGTAATATATACTTTTTTACATTTTTTTTGTACATATATGTACATATGTATGTATGTGTTGACAACTCTTAGTTATATATAGATCCGGATAACTATGTAATTTGCTTGATAACAAAATGCCGTTTATTTTCAATCAAAATACTTGTATACTTATTGGTTTAGCGATACTACTTGTATAGAATCAACATACATACCATACATATACATATCCATAATTATTTACTAACTATATACATACATACATACAGATATTCTAGTAATGTATTTAATGTAATGGTGTTATACTTAATACGAAATATGCTACAATTATATAACCAACTAAGTTGTGTCATTTATTTGTACTTATTTCTTTGCGATAATAAAGTCTAAGCAGAGAACGTAAATGAATATTATTTAATTCATCAACATTCTCTGGTCTAAGCACTACAAAATTAATATTTGAATAAAGGAAATTATAAACGTAGTGTACATATAGATGTAATTATGCCTAAAAGTATGCAGCATTATTCCCATTTGAGTATAAATTAATGTAGTATAGAATCAACCTACATACATATATACAATTATTTACTAATTACATGCATACATATGCATGTATGTAAATAAATTATTTGCATTCATATAGCAATATAAATGGAATAATGCTTTTACCTTCGAGTAACTTTCAGTGGAGCGAATATCATTTATGGTCCATGGCAACATTGCGGCGGAGTAGCGCGGATCCACAGAGGCGCTGCCGCGGTATGTTAACGAAACAAGACGCGTCTTCATTTTATTTGCAAACTTAGTATCAAGTCAATAATTATAGATGCAATGATAACCGAAAGTAAACACTTTGAATCTCTTCAGCACACATTCATATTTATTTAGCTATACGAATTCAATGAGAGCACCAAATAACTTTAATATATGATCCGCACAAATCACTGTTATCTTAAAGTTGTTTAAAATATTCGAATATTTTTTGACGCGCATGACTCATCTGTAGCAATGAGTATAATAATTGTGGGCGTTTTGTAAAAATAAAAAAACAATGCATACACCGAAATAGGCAGTTTTAGTAGACAATGAGTTTACAGATCGAGAAATCTGGTGGTACGTTGTAGCTTCTATGTTGATGGCAGTGAGGATAATGGATTAATAAATACATATGTACACGTAAATATGATAATATTCGTGAGTGTACGAGTTATTGTCAAAAATATATAATTGAGCACGCGACTTATGGAATTTAGGACAAAAGACAACAACACAAGTAGCATATAAAGCTCAACATTAGCATGTTAGTGTTCCTGTGAGAGTTTTGAGTTTTTAATTTGTTTATAAAAGTGCTGTTTAATTATTTATTTCTGGTGCAACTGAATTAACAACGCATGATCAAAACCAATTAGAGGCGCACATATAGCCACTTTACCTAAAGCGCGACTGACCGTTTCCCTTTTGCAGAATATCGATTTTTCATGAATTTCGCTTCTATAGCAATGGGTGCCAATTCGTTCTCATATACACAACAGCAATTCCGCATGCGGTAAGTGTAAGAGTTTTCCATTCATTCCCTGAGGACGCACATTAGAATGTTTAGGTAAATGGCAAAGAAAGGCAATAAGTAAGTCACTTTATTCACAAGAGACACTTTTTTTCATAATATACTTTTATTTGTCCCAATCAAAATTTTACTACAACTTTATATTTTGTAAATGGATTTAAGATGGTTTTACAAAGTTTGCTTTATATAAAAGGCATTTGCTTTATGTATATTTAAATTCTTTAGGAGTTACTTTTTTCCCAAGGATTAATACACCAATTTATCACCAAAATTCCAACGCTGTTCACTCATCCGCACCATTTATACACTACGAGAATCCACTGAAAACTGCACTTGACCAAGCATGACTCCACAGTGAACTGTATGCATATGCCATTTTCTCTACATCCTTGCGCACTAAACAACTTTGCGAATATTTCGCTTTTCACATTATCCTTTCTCACTTAGCACCAAATACCTTTCTATATGGCTTAGGTTTATGCTCCCTAAATTGCTTGAATTTCGCGGTTATCGGCGCAGTCGCGGTTAATATTGTTTTTATTTTGCTCATCAATTTGCACCTGGTTGACATTTGAATTTGACGTTCCTTAGACGTATTGTAACAACTCTGTTCTTAATACTTCAAATAACTGTCAAAAATACTCGTATTTGCAGAGAACGTTCAGAGAACGTATAACGTGATATACGTTCTCTGGTATTTTAATAGAATAGACATAAACCAATGCATGACAGAGAACGTATATCATATATATAATATACGTTCTCTAATGAATTCAGTAAAGAGTTACTCATAATACACAACATTTAAATTTATAATTTCAAATATATTATAATTTACTTTCTAATTAAAAAAATATTATTAACAGGAAACATTATAAATTGATTAGGATATATGTATATCCAAACAGATATGCTACAATTATATAACAAACTAAGTTGTTTATTTTTACTTATTTGTGTGCGATAAAGTCTAAGCAGAGACTGTTAATAAATATTATTTAATTCATTAACATTCTCGGGTCTAAGCTCTGTAAAGCTAATATTTGAATAAAGGAAATTATAAACGTAGTGTACATACAGATGTAATACTGAGTAAAAGTATGCAGCATTATTTCCATTTGAGTATAAATTCCAAGCATATATGGTATAGTCAAGAAATATAGCGAAGAAGGCCTATTTCATATAGCTAGCTATATACTTATATACAATATACAGTATTTCTGCATAACTGTTTAGAATCTAAAAAAGGTCAATAAACAAAAACATAGAAGCTCTCAAAAGCCATCAAAAAGCCATTCGTTCACATAGTTTTCGTAACAAGTTTTTCTATGCAGATCACCCTGTGTTTATGACGTTAGCAATGTCAACGTGCATCTATGCAAAAATTACAAAAATAGCAGCGCGAGTTTTTTTGAATTACCGCGTCCGCCCTTCAATTGCGCCAAAAATAGACAACAAACATTTTATTTTGTTTTTATTCAGTTTTGCATTTAAAAATTTTGGTCTTTGATGAGGCGAATATGGCATGAAGTTGGTTATCTCGGTGCAAGGCATCCACTGTTGCATTGGCAGCAACAAAAGTGCTTACACACATGCATATGTACAAATATTTAAGCACGTATGCTACGCATATAAGTATGGCTAATTAATTTGCGCACAATTCCAAGCAAATAAACGTTATGGCTGCTAAAGGCTGGAGTTTGCATGTGGAGGAGAATGAATTGTTCGACTGAAATGAGTATGAAATGCATACATACAAACATAAAATATAAACGCAAACTTACAACTCTTTTTGCGTTCATATGCCTGATAATTTATTACTAAATTTTGGTTATTTTGAAAAACAAAAGCAAAAAGCAATGGGGAACGACTGATAAGATACCGCTGTTGGCTAGTATTTACAAATGAATTTGTGTACATATACATACATATTTACCATTTATACGAAGAGTTTTATTTGTATTGAGATGTATGCGCATTAGTAAGCACATACATATGTATGTATGCTTGTAAGTGCTTGATTATAAAAATTAAGTATCTAAAAATGCAGTTGTATGCACATTCCAACATATCCATATCGTGGCCAGCCGCCTGAAATTTAATCACTGCAAACGATAGCGCACCGGAAACGAGGAAGTAGAAATAAAAGAAATACATAGTAATAAAAAGGAGTGCAAGCCATATACATATGTACATATGTATGTGCACATATATGTACCTATGCATGTGTGTGCGCTGTTAGATAAGAATTTCATCAAAGGGGAATTTTGTTCCTGCCAGTGGAACTCGCTTCAAATTGTGATAATTTTTTTTTTACTACCCACAAAGTACTTCGCCCCTCAAAATTGTTAAATTTGTACAGCATTTGTAATTTCAAAATCAAAAATGTTTATATTTATAAAGTATTTATTTGTGCTTGCATCCCTGTTAGAAAATTTTACAAATAAGCAGAAACTTGTTAAAATCTTAAATAAATAATCAAATATGTACAAAATTAATTTCGGAAATGGAGCAGTGGCATTGATAAAAGGTTTAAAAAAAATCTATTTCGAAGTAGAAGAGTTATTTCATGTTACTTCATATTTCAAACTAACCGATCAAGGCTATCTGATGAGTAGAAAGAAATAATGTGTGATCATCATAAAATATATAAAAGTATGAATACATTTTTATAGATAATTTTATAATCTACAATTTTGGTCTGAGATATTTTCATGATAAAACTTACTAACCGATCAAAAACAAGTTCTTATAAGGAACATTTTTTACTTCGCGAGATATCTTTATGAAATTTAGCCTAGATTATTGTCCAAGACACTGCTACAATATCCGAACATATTGTTCAAATTGGACCACTACAGCATATATTTATGAAAGATGTTTTTTCCCCTTTAAGTAACCTTAATTCGAATTGAAGATTGTTCCAACAATGTGGCTAAAAAGAACTAGAAAAACGGCTTTCGTTGGCTGCCAACCGTTGGTCGGTTACGTTTTCAGATTTAGTTATACATATACAAGATTGCTATAAGAAATGCACCTGTGAAGGGTATTATAGCTTCGGTGCAGCCGAAGTTGTTGTATTTTTTTTTTTTGTTTGTTTTGTTTTTTCAATTGACACTCTGTAGATAATATTTCCTACAGGGTATGCACGCATACTATTTCCTACACTTAACTAGTAGCTGCGGCAAATGTTTATAAATAAACAGACATGGCTGGCTATAGTGTACGAGTGGCGTATGTGGCGTTGTTGGCGGCATCTGCAGCAGGTAACTTGCCTTTGATCAGACAAATACACATACACACTCATCGCAAATTCTATAAATACCACCTTTTCCAGTATCCGAATATTTTGCTTGCGGCTCATAAGTGAGGTGGGAGTTAATATTGCGATTTTATTAGCTGTCGAATGAAACGGAAATTCGACCTTGGAAACTTCGGTATGGCAATATTAAAGCAATGGGAAAGTCCAGCGCATAAGCGTAACTCTGGATTTTAATTTACTTTGCAGACATATACATACATAAACATACATATTTGTACATGTATGTATATTATTAATGTTAAAAAATGTATATAGTTGTAAATAATATACTATTTCTAATCATAATAATAATATTCTCTTTATCGACAGTTTATGCCTGTTTTATAAACAATTAGGTCGATTGATTTCATATAGCTTCCAGCTTATTCGTGAAGACAGGCTAACTAAGTCCACAAAACGTTGAAAAAAGTCTGAACCTGTAAATGCAACCGCGGTCACATTTCCATTGATTTGACAGTATATTAAGAAACTGCAAGAAGGATGACGAAACATTCATTGAAAAGCTGGAAGAGAGTCGTTTGCACGACAGTTAGGTCTACGTAACCGTATTGAACTTAGATTTTTAGCTGAACAAGTAAAATTTCAACTCTACAGCATTCCTATTAATTATTTGGGAAATGTTTTCTACCATTACAACAATGACATCAAGTTCGAAACTAATAGCTCTGATGAAGTGAGTACTGACAGTCCGCTTGGCTACTTGTTCGGGTTCAATTCCATTGAATATCAATATGATTAATTCAGTACTTCCACAACTAAAAGCTAAAGTTCCGTTCGTATATTTCACAGCATGTCGAGTTTATAATATTTTTAAAGCATTTCATCACAATTCTACAAAACCGCAATTTACTATAATAATGAATGTTAGAAATACTCACTGCTTCCTTAAAAGACATGGCCTTCACAGAGCGAATGGAAGCTTTCACTAAATTGAGACTTTGGACTGTTATATTGAATCTGAAATATATATTGATATCATTAAAGTCTGATCCATGTATCCATGTGTCCATGTGTAGGCGCTTTAAATGTTTGAAACCTTTTAAAGGCTATATTCTTACCAAGTTTTGAACGCATCTTGACAAGATAATCGGAGCTCCGTCAGTACAGTGAGTTTATTCTTTTGAAGCATGAATAACTCTTTATTTCAGCCGAACAGTTTGACCGAATTCAATCAAGAGTTCACAGAAGTTGAACCAAGTACATATGCATGCATGCAAGTATTTGTGCACAGTATGTGTGTACGTAAGTGTGAATATGACAGTCTAATTTTATGCTTAATTTACTCCAGGCAAGTTAGTGATATACTTGTATGTAGGTATTTATTTCCGAATAAGGGAACACCGCCATCATCGCGTTGATGCTCATACACACAGACATACACGCATACATGCGCAATAAGTGTATTTTCTTCAATTAACTCGGTAAGTACATTTGTCACATTACTTGCCCTCTCAACTCTTTGAACTCCTAGTAAACAAGTAAGGAAACGCTAATTTCGGTTTTGACCGTTTTTATACTCTCCCCATTATGAAAAAACCACAAGTGGGGAAGCCCTTTCAGAAGTTGCAAAACTTTATGAATGGTTTACAATCAGATTTGGTATTAGCTTATATTATAGGTCTACCTATATGACCTCGCAATCATTACTACAATTTTGCTAGGTGTACGAGATTATTTTAAAATTAACATAATTAACTCAAATGAAGGTCAACAAGGTAGGAGAAATGTAATACATTGGGTATATGAGGAAAAAGTCAACCAAATAATCGGAAATCATTATATTAGCAATATGAGGTTTAGACCAAGATCTCAACACATTTCATTTCTATTCAACGCCGAACCACCTTATGTTGAAGAAAACATATCCACTTAATTTCATTTGATATCATATATGGACCAACATAAACGGTTTCAAGTCAGCTGTAACTATATCTATATCACTATAACGGATATATTGAGGTTAGGTACAGATTGCATTAACTGTTATCATAACTAAACTATACTCGAGAACATGTTTTTACGCAATTTTATGTCGATAACTCGCACATCGATTGAGATATTCGGTATAAAGTCTGCTAGAATAACGGAAATAATTATATACTTATAAAATATGAGAACTTGGGTGATTCGTGTACTGATTTCATGCATTCTCAGCATTTAAATAAAGTATATACAATATTATACGTTCACTTAGTTTTGCTAAGATATCATTAATATTGACGGCTATATACGATACATACGATACAAATTCAAGCGGAAGTACGAAAGCTTCCATATTGTATTGGTAATGAAGATGAAGTATTGAACCGATTTTACATTTTTGACATAAGTACACATCGTTATTGGGAAAATATTCTCTCTGAATTTCAGCAATATATCTCACAAGTTGATCGGGGTTTAAAAAACAGTCAGCTATAGGCATCATATATTCGGTATCTAGGGGACTGCAGAAACCTCTTTATATTTCTCTGCCCTGTACCAAATTACAGATTTATATCTTAATTTGTGGTTTAACATAGCTATAAATTAGTTTGTAAGTTTTTCATTAACGTAATTTTTTTGGACCTGTCAATAGTTCGATTTCCGCGATACTAATTGTGTTTCTGTTAAATTTCTAATTAAATTCTTCTCTTAAATATCTTGTTTCTGTTAAATTCGATACTGCGATACTAACCTCCTCACAGAGTCAAGTTATTGCACGATTAGACTGAGAGACAGTCACCCGAAGCTCAATTTGTTATTGATTTGTAAAAAAAAGTGGCTGAAAGAGCTGAGCTGAGTATATTTTATAATTTTGAATATTTAAATTAAATTTGTATAATTAGTAACGAAGAAGCTAATGTTGCAATTCTATTAAATTTCAATGCAGTTTGGCACGAACTTTTAATAGTAAAGTCATTGTGAGGTCTTGGCAAAAAACGATTGTGATAATAATTTTTGCATTGCTTCGTTCAAAATCGGTGGAAACTGCAGCCTCTACGGAGATTATACAACAAAAACTCTACCAGTATTTCCTTGTGCAAATATATACCGAAGAGACGTTTGATAACTGTTTGATTTACGAAGAGGTACGAAAGAGTGAAACTCTAAACTAGTTGCTGTGTGTAGTCGTCGAAAATGTCAAGAAACCGATTATTTTTCAAAATGCAAACACGTCTTATCAAATTGGAAATTTGTTAAGTAGTAAATTACTCGTTATAGCTCGGTTGGAGTGTCTTGAAGTGGAACTGAGGATGCACGCCGATGCGCTCAATCGTATATGACAAAAACGTAAAATACTTATCGGTGCTGGGCCTGACCTTATGTCGAAATACGATCAGTACCTAACACAGCTTTTCCGATTATATGAAGCTGAAAAACTGTTTAACGTTGTTGTAATTCCTGTTGATTTTTCCCAGACGAAATTTTTTTATAACTACATATACAAGTTTTCCAAAATTTTAAATGTACACAAATCCCACACAGTTTACAATTATTTTAGCCAGCGTTTATGTTATATTTACCTTAGGCTATTGCTGTCGCCGATTGCAATGTAATCTAGATGGTAGACCTTGCCATGTGAGCCCCCTAATTACCACATTTGAGTACAATGCGAGTTTTAGTTTGACTCTGCATGGTATGGACTTTATGTTTATTCACATTGAGTGTGAGAGCAGGAAAAGGGATACCACCACAACATGATCCTTAAGAAATATTATAAACTCAACGAAGACATATCTATATATATTAGTTTTAGAATGCACATACAACACAAACTATTATACTCTGTAAGAACATGTTGCGTGAGTATAAAAATGGCACAAAAAAGGCAATTAATGCTTGCGTAATTAATAATTATGATTAAAATACCGCTTACTTGAATGTAATATGTATTTGTAAAAGTTTCAAGTAAGTGCGTGAAATGTGCTTGAAGTCAGTTAATTTAATTAGCTCAGAGTTTGGGCGCGGGCTTAAGCGTAAGCCCAGCCAAGCATATAAGTACGTACATATGTATGTGCGACAAAGAGTGTCGAGAATATTGAGTATTATACTCGAGTTTATGTTTAATTAAGATATTTTTGCTTCATTGTGGTTGTTAAATGTAAGAGTTTCTGGATTTAGTAGGAGTAACGAATGTACTTACGAATATCTATATATAATACACGTATACTTTACGTATGTACATATACATACATGCCATATATAATTAAATATACAAACAGTCATAAGTAGTTTGCGATAATTTCTTTTACTCATAACAACTTCATTATTATTTTGCATAAGAATAAATAATAATTTTATAATATTCATTTATTGAGCTTAAAGAAATACCATATTTTCCTGTTAAATAAAATTTGTCAAAAAAAGTATTTGTTGTTTTGCAGCTGAGTTCTGCTGTTGCATCATCTACAATATATGCGAGTGTGTTTCACTTATCTGGGTTTTTAGCACTGCAAAGTACATACATACGTATGTATATACAGACATATATATATTTGTGAGTTAGATGGCAATCTTATCAACAACTGTTTCAAAGATAAAGTTTATTCTGCTTTAACTATTTGCTTTTACTAACTGTTTTTATGATTAATTGCGAGTTCACGCCAAAATAGGTAACAACAGCAAATACATATGTATATGTAAGTATATGGTTATGTGTTTCTCTGTTGGTGTATAATGTAGTGAGTCAAAGAGTATTTCTAAATACGAAGAGATGAAAACAAGCGTTAAGAGTTTTGTTGTGCGCGAAACTTAAGCATAAATAAAATTATTTTAATATAATAAAAGCAATAACCTATTACCAAGAAACCTTACACTAAATGCAATACACTTACCTATTTACATATATCAGGTAAGGTTAGGTTCTATGGGTAATTCCTGAGTTGCAGATTATACGTGAAAAGACAAGTCCTTTGGGAAAACTGTCAAAGTAGTATCTCATGTCTCGAGAAAATCGTTTTATTTTACTCCAGCTGGTTCACCCGAATGATTGACATTGTAAGATACAGGATGTCTTAGCTTTCATCTCGCAAATGCATGACAGTTAATATATAGATTTTTTTGCGCTATCGGGTCGACGACGATTGGACAATGGTCGTTTAAAACGGTTTCTAATGGGATCCATTTGATTAAATGCTGATCGGAGCTCGTTCAAGACGCTCAAACTCCACATTATGTATATTGACTGCAATTTATATATTACGGTGGAACAAGCAGGTATAGAATAATTTCAACTATTTTTGATACAAATAAAATTTTCAAAAGTAAGAAAAGAGACCTCTAAGAGTTTTTTCTATGTTTCAAATTCAACTAAAGATGGTCAAGATCTTTGCGAAATTGTTTAACAATACAATATGTGTAAGGATATGATATTATCAGTTTACTAGATGACAGCAGTAGGTCTGGGTTACAAATTTTCTCGGAGTTCGCCATGAATATACATATGTACGTATGTATTTTCCTCAATACTACTAACCAAGGTCTGTCGGTGGATAAAACCAAAAAAACTTAAACTGGAATATAAATATTTCCGATTTCTCACAATGCAGAAGTTCAGAATTAAATATCTCTACAACTCGTGAAATAATCGCTTTTTTCCTCCTGCTATTTCCGCTCCGTACAGCAAAAAGTTCCCACAAGTATATTTAAAGAGAGAAAGCGGTTTAAGGATTCTGCAAACTGATACTTCATTAAAACTGAATTCAAAACAGTGTTAGAGAAAAACATAAAAACATCTCTTATTTGCTCGCTCTTTTACACGCCCTTAATAATTCTTTCATGCATAAGACTCTCTTTACTCACTTCACTATCAATTTCAGTCGACAATTTGTGATCAAGTAATTCTCCGCATTGCTTTAGCTGTGTGCCTGCGTGTGTATGTGAATCTATGTGTTAATGTGTGTGCCGGCAATTGACTGGAGCTCCAGGCCGCCACACTGACTAGCTACCAAGTAAGCGGCGCAGCTATTCATTCGAGTATCTGAGTACGTGAAGATCAGTTCGGTGTGCTTTAGTAAATTTATATATTGCGGATAAAACGGCACAACAACAACAACGAGTGTTCTAAGACGTGAGGGTGTAGTAAGACGTGTGCGATAAGAAGCTAAAAGTTTAAATATAAAAACGAATTTGCGAAGCACGAACATACGAAGGGTGCTTTGTTCGATTAGTGACAGTGTTATTAATACATACATACATATCTATAAACATATACATACTCGTATGTACATATATTTGTGCAGTTGCCAAAGCAGCTGACGTGCAAAAGTCAAAAAGAAAAAAGTATTAGTCATAAATAAATAAAGCAACAAGAATTGCTAAAGTTTAAAGTGTTCGATAAGCTCAACACCGAGGCAAACACGAAAGTCAAAGGAAGCGGGCAACCAGCTAAGCAGCAGCGTATAAAATTTATTGAAAAGCATATAACTCAAGCCGTTGAAGGAGCATTGTGTACGTGTTACAGTTAGTTGTTATTTTACATTTTATTTATTTTTTTGTTTCTGTTTTTGTTTTTCCAATTAATTAGTTTTTTGCGAATTCTGCTCACATGGTTGCATCCGTGTTGTTGTATCATAGCTAGATACATTTTTGTTTTTTATTTTCATAATATTGTTTTTGCCCCCAAACAAATGACGTAATGACCTTGTATGCTGTCATTAACGCCGCCGTTGTGGCTGTCACTGTCACTGCCACTATCGCTCTCATTTTTATTTAAACAACAGCATGCAAATAATTATAATATTTTGCTGCGACTCTTTGAAATATTATTTAGGGTTAGGTTAAGGTGCTCACGTTTATATCACAGCGGTAAATAAAATTGACTGCTACCAAGTTATTTGTTTTTAAAATGTGCAACACTTAACAGCAAATTAAAATAATAGCAGTGAAAAATTATTTATTGTTCATATGATTTCCACAACTTTGATAGTTATTTGAATTTGTTTTGAAAACTTTACAAGTAAATCCTGTAAATATAATAAATTGAATGGCATATTTTGTATGAAATTTGCGATTTTCTTGTGATTTCGTGAACATTTTTTTTAAGTTTCTGATCCACAAATAAAAAAAAATTAAAAAAATACGAGTATGTGGCTGTAATAAAGACCATATTTTTCCAAAATAAAAAAGTGATTATAATGACGTTTTGTCGATTTCAATTGCCAGCATTTGGGAGCGCAATAAAATCGAAAGTTCGCTAGCTTACAGTAGGCTGTTTTCAAATGAAATTGCAAACAAAAAGTCAACCAACTGAGTAATTTTGAATTCTCAGCAAAATATTCATTATATTTTTTAAAATAAATGTATTATACTTTCTACGTGAAATACCTGCAGTTTTTGGGTAGTTTTGATGAAAAATAGAAAACCTTCCCAAATATTGATAGTTGCTATAAGATGTTTTGCAATAACAGTACAAACGGTACAAGTAACAGGTGCATTGATTTTTTTAATGAAATTAAAAGAAAAAATATTAAATTCTTTACAAAATTAAAAAAGTATATAAATAAACATTAATATATTGTACAAAAAAAAAATCGATTAAGTAGTATTTATTATTATGAAATGCAAGCTTCACAAAATATTAAATAGAAACTGCTTTGTCCAGCCGCTCAATACACAAAACAAAAAAAAAAAAATTTATCTTCGTTTAATTATCACCATCAGCTTATTAGCTAAAGTTTTGTCTCTTGTTAACCATATATGTGCGTAGCGGTGTATATACATATGTATGTAAATAAAAGCGACAAAAAATCGTTGCAACATAAAAAAAAAATTGAACGAAACGTGAAAACGTGTTAAAGTGACTTTATTCAAGCCAACAACGTCATGTGGCAACCTCTAACGAAAAGTAAAACTATGCTAAATAATTATGTAGGTGCATATGTATTTCATATCTATATGAAGTTGCTTTATTTGCCCTGTAGGAAAAAGCTGACGATAAAGAAATTGGAAACAGAGTTGTTTGGCTGACAAAATGATATGTAGAGCTTCTTTTTAGTTCAAAATCACCACAACCTGCGTTGTGATTTTTAATTTTAAAAATTTTTCAAAATGGGGAATGTCAGGGGTCATTGGGGATCTCTCTGCAGCACAGTAAAATATCTCTGCTGATAAATCAGAGACAAGTTTTGCATTTAGAGTTGACCGGAGTAAATATTTTAACGCACTGGGCGACCAAAAAAGTTTGAATATGAGAAAGTGGAAGCAGAACTCGATGAGATTATATACTTATGAATCCAGTTATTTAGTCGAGGTTTAGTACTTGTGGCCACGTAGAGCGTTCGTTTATATATTATTATATAATCGTTATCGAGAAACTTTTTGCAACTTATTCTTCAGATTTGGACACAATTTTCCAGATCTGTGTTAAAAGTCACTTTAATTGCAAATCTTTGGTAACACACTGTTTAAATTTATACAAATTTCATAACCTATAAGCTATATTTTTGTCATGAAGAAGCTTAGCTTAATAGAAAACGATGCCGAATTCTATTCGTTCTCTAGGCAGAACAAACTTTAAAGGATCCTCTACTTTTAAAGGGCCATAAAACGACACCCAGTAGCGAGATTTATTATATGTGGATCCATAACAACGAAACATCTTCCGGTTTTAAAACCCAATCACGACCTTTGGACATCAATCTTTAGTGTGCCATTGTGAAAAGTTCTGATAAAAAGTAGATCGGTCTTTACAGACCATATTTAATATATTGTACAGACAAATTATTGATTATTGATATTTTATTGTATATAAATGTAATGTGTGTATTTGCACGAAATTTAATCAAAATATAAGAAATGTTTCACAAGGCTCATAATCAAAAAACGGCTGCATTTAGAGTAGATTAATCAAATTTAACAAGCGCCGGAAAATCTGTAGGCGGTTAAGCGGAACCGGCATATGTACACACTAATAACAATACATAACAACACAAGCACACATATGTGTGTATGTATATATTTTTTTACACAAAAAAATATAATAAATAGAATGACAAGGTATAGTAGCAAGTACACATAAAGATAAACGCTTGCATGTATGTCGGCATACATATGTGTGTACATATATACGTACATATACATATATATCTATAAACCATATAATTGTATAATCGCATCATATGAGATAATAAACAAAAATAACAACAACAACGCAATACAGTAATAAAACAATACGGCAATAGCAGCAATATTAATTAAGTCAAAGGCAGTCGCAGCAGAAACAACAACAACAACGTACCACATTAATATTATATTAAATTAGAAAGCCATCCCAGCTTGTCTCATTTTCACTTATCTACTTGTATGTATATGTTTTGTTTTGCTTTTGCTTGGTAGTTGCTATTGTTGTTCTTGCTGCTGCTGCCACTCGTTGTTACTATAATAGGCTCATTGCCTATTTGTATCGAACTCACGTCGCAAATGTGTCGTTTCTGGAATTTCTAAAGGTTTTTCTGGTTGTAGAATTGCGTTTACATATAAGTACATAAATACATACATATATATGACTAGTTGTATATATGTATGCATGTATAGACGACTGCATGGTTATACTTATTAGTAGTACGCAATCTGGCCGCCGCTGAATAGTTGCTATTTAATGAAACAAAAAACAAAAATTAGTAAATAATACAAACATACATACAAGTACATAGCCAGCCACAAAAACAACTCCCGTCAACTTGATGTCTTTATGGTGCGCTGCTCACTTCTATGGGTGTGCCTGTGTTTATCGGTATGTTTGTGTCACATCATTATTGTTGTTTTTGTATTTGTGTAGGTGCTAGTTGCGGTGAGTGTGTTGCCCCGCCATCGCCTCAATCGTTAATGTGTACGAGTTTTTCACCTTATTTTGCATAATTCACGTTGGTGATAAAACAGGTTTTACATCTATTGGACATTAAACGAGCGAGTGATTAGCATTTATTTCCACTTTCGGTTATTTATTATTGTTTTTGCTCAACCCTTCTTTCCACTGCTAAGTTTGAGAACGGCAACAGGTTATTTGAGCACTTAATGAAAAGATAAAATATTATGAAAGCGATAGAATATAAATTATTTATTCTATCCTGGCCAATAAGTATAGAAAGTAATACACTTTCTTAGTTAAACATACAGATAAATCGTTGGAAATTTGTTAAAACCGCTTAAGTTGACTTTGTCTCCACTAAACGGATTGAGTGATTGGGAACAAATTCTACAAGACTCGCAAATTTTTAATCTCCAACGAAAGCTCGGACGGACGGAGCTCTAGTTTATATGCAACATAAATTTAGAAGGGTTTTTAATTTTATCTTGCAAAATATTGAACTAAATAAGAGTGGTATGCGTGCCATATGGATCTGATTATTAACTTACGGCTCAAATACCTTAATCGGATACGAATTATTGAAAGAGTTTTCTAATTTCTTTTTTTATGATCTCTATCCACACGTAAGAGTTGCTTGGTAATGAATATTTAGATTTCGAAGACAGTAAAGAGTTTTAAGGACCTACAGAATAAACAGGGTGAAATATTGGGTATAACCCTTAACAATTTTTTTGAGTAAATCCATAAAAAAGATTCAGATCTACCGTAATTATTTCAAGAATAAATTTTTAAGAGTAAATTTTTTTAACATCACAGTTTCAATATTTTCATTGTTGTTAAGGTTCATGTCAACGAGCATATAACAAGAGTGTTTCGATAAATAATTCCAAGTGTTTTTCCATAAATAATTCTTTGAAAAACCTTCAGTAATTATTTGAAAAAACCACTCACCAATTGAAAACCAGCAAAGATTTTCACTTGAAATCAGTTGTTAAATTAAACGTATGTATATATAACTAAATATATGTTGTACATATATATACAAGTATATATGTACATGTGTATGTACATTAGGGCGGAACGAAAAAAAATTTGTTTAAAGTAAATTTTGAGTTAAAATTATTTTTGGACGAGAAAAAATTATTTTTGGTTTCAACTCTTTATATTTATATAAAAATTACCGAATGTGACGGTTTTTGACTCAAAATTTATTTTAACGCTTAAGGAAAGCATGTTGTCGTTTAAGACTTTTTTTTTAAACTCCAATAATGATAACTTTTAATTGGCTAGAACACTTATCAAAATTTTTTTACGAAATAAAAATTTTAACTCGAACTTTACTTTAAAACTGGGATGTTAAACATTTTTTTTTGTCCAAAAATTTTCTTTTTTTATAATCTACATACATATTTTACCCTCAGGCTAAGCAAAAAAAAAAA